AACAAAGTTCTACAACTATCTTTAAACTCTCTAATGGCAAGGCCTGTGTATTAGCTATAAAATGATTAAACATCTTAGCAACCACTGTACTACTGCTCTTACCACACTTTTCAATTGTTGTCTGTTCCAAAATACTATGTCTCAGTCATGGAAACATAGCAGAATTTATCTAATACCAAAGAACAATGCTTTTAATAAAAATCTTAACTTTACTTACCTAATTAGTTTAATCAAACATATCAGAAAAATTTATACCAAAATTTTAACCAACAGACTCAATCAAGTTTTCTCTTAGCATTCTATTCTTTTATCTTTTAATTATGTTGCCCTACCAGACAACAGTTGCTAACTATAATTATAAAGAGATCTGGCTTTTATCTTAGAATATGAGCAAAGCTTATAACTCAGTTAATTTTAATCTATTTAAACATGCTCTTTAATTTATTATTAATATCCTATCAGACTTACTCACCAACTGTCAAAATAAAATTATGATTAATTTTGGTTTAATACTTCTCTACTAAGTCCAAAATGGTATTGACCAAGAGGAGACTATTTCTTTCTTGCTCTAGCAGATTTAATAATAGACAAAACTTATATCATTTGGTTTTTATTTTTGTGATTAGTTATTTGTTATATAATATGATATTATATCTCAATACACTTAGTCACTTAGTTACAAATAAAGTAACAAAAATCACATATTAATAATAATAATATAAAATGATATAGGTTATTATATTACTAGTCACGTGTTATTTAAATATCTAATAAAAATTAGGTTATTTATCAAATTTATATAAATTTATATTTATCTAGCAATTTAATAGTACAATTAGAGTATAAAATAGCAAATCTATTATTTAAAGTAAGTAATATTATACTATACCAAGTTATTTCAAAGTCATTTTGGATTTATAATTATTTAAGTGACTAGTCACTTAATTTTTTAAACTAACAAATAATTAGCAACAAAGTCATTTAAGTCATCATAGTTACCAAATGTGACTATCTATTACTAGGCAAATTTACTATGATTTTTTTATTATTTATATACATTAAATATTTTCTGGCTATTCAATTTCTATTTTATAGCTCACTAATTTAAAAAACTTTTCTACTAACAAACTTGAAGCTAATAGCTTTATACTGGCCTATATAAATAATACTTTGTAAATTATATTTAGCCAAACTGAGCTATTTAACATTCTCTTAGCTACTAAATCCTTTTACAATATAGCTAATATTAAAGTCAATTTAACTAAATCTATATTATTATCTAATGCCAAGCCCAATACCTACTACCCAATCTCCTTTAATAATGAAATACACTCTCTCTGACCAGTTAATCAACCCTTCAAGTTTCTTGGTTGTTGGTTTACTTTAAACAATAAACATACTAAACAAATACAACCTATTTTCTCTAAATTAGTACTCCTAAATTTGGTCTGGGTTCAGTTTGGTCTGGGTTTGGTCCAGAAATAAACCAGGCTCAAACTTTAAATTTTACTAGTTTCGAACTTCAGACCAGGCTCAAACTTAATTATGAGTCTGGCCTAAGTCCAATCCGAAGTTTGCAAACTAGTTCAAGTCTGAACATATTTATAAAATTAGTCTGGGTTCAAAGTTTGCAAATATGTCTAGTCTGGTTTGGTATAGTTTTTGTGGCTTAGCTCAACATATAAGCAGATTTGTAATACAAATCTGCTTACATAATGAGCTAAGCTATAAAAAAACATACTAGACTGAACCAAATTTATTAGCCCCACCAGGGTTTAGACACTTTTGCAGTAACATGATGTGGTGCAGAGAAAATGACCAATTGGAATTTGTAAATTTTAATCATCCCAGATCAGTCCAACATTAAAACAAAACACATGTGCAAGAAGAAAAAAGTAAAAAAAGTGAAAATACTCAAAAATTGGTGTTTAAATCAGATCAGCCTTTAAGCACTAACAAAAGTGTCAGAAATGCAATTTTATATATAATATGAGTGTCATCAAAAAAAAACCTGCCAATTTAAATATAGTCTATATTTAAATTGTCAGGTTTTTTTGATAACACTCAATATAAAGCTAATAACCCTAATACGAACCTGAACCCAAACCCTAAACTAAAGCAAAAAAATATGCCACATCATGTGATAGTTGCATTACTGCAAAGTGTCTAGACCCCTGGCAAGGCTAAACAAATTTGCAACTTCAGACCTCATAGAAGGACATTTGTCTAATTGGCTGAATTGTCTAGTAACTTATTTATATACATTAAAGAACTTTTTATGTTCATTAATAAAAAATCATCTCAAAAGCTATTTTTTACTTTGATAGCATGTCTATATTAAATATATTAAATAATCAGTAATAATTAGTATTCCCACAAGTTTTATTTAGATACCTACTGCTAATTGTATACGTAGAGTAAAGGTACCAGAAGTGTTTTCTATTTTATTATGTTGGTTTTAAATAAGCTTTTATTTCTAACTGTTTGATTTTAATATGTACAGGCTCTTTAACAAGAAGATCCATACATATATTTGTTTACTACAAAATTTGGTAAATAACTTTGAGGATACAATTTAGGAGCAATTCAGAACTAATTCTGCAAATCTGCTGATATGTTATTATTTATTTCTACAATATGATTTTTTAATTTATACTAAATTTAGTACAAAGAGCTCACAGATACTTATTAAACATTAAAATTATTTAGGCAAAGTGCTACAAAAAAGAGATAAAATAACAAATTTTCAATTTTTTTTTTTTTTATATAATCAATTTAAAATAAGATTAGAATTATTTTTCACTTAAAACTAGTGTTTCGATCGCAATCCGACTAATTTGGATTAATCCGATAATTCAGATTAAATGCGGATATCCTTATCTGTCAATTTTAAATGGATAAATCCTATTTCGGATTGAGGATGATGATTATTCGGATCATAATCTTTACTAGATTAACACATGGTATACCTGTCATGATTCTGTTTGGTTGTTGCTATTGGATGAACGACTATACTACACCATAGACTGATTTTTGTGGTGCGGCCACCCACCAGTAATTTAAAAAAAATTTTTTTTTAAAAAAACTTATTATTAGTCCAATTTGTTGTTCTCTATATGAGTGCTGTCAATAGAAAACCTATCATCAGGCTTTCAATGTTCAGTTGGCTTTCTGCATGCTATCTATGGGTAATATATTTCAATGATAGATTGTCCATAGACAGCATACAGAAAACCAGCTGAACATTAAAAGCCCGATGACGGGTTTTCTATTGACAGCACTCATATGAACCAAGCGTTTTTTTCAAATTTCGTGATTTTGATTGGTCGATCAATGATTTTTTCAGATTGAATTCTAATCAATCCGAATTTACTCAATTCGGATTAATGAAAGAGAGTCCGGATTCAATCTGGATAGTTCTGAAGAAATAGGATCGAAGTTCTACTTAAAACACAAAGCAATTGTATTAATAAAATTTTGTAATATAGCTCTTTAAAGTTTGTACTTATAATTTATTATAAAATTTATAACATAAAAATTGAACTTCCAAAGATCTTTTATTTTGTTGATTTCCGTACTGGTCTTTTACAAATTTGTGCATTTTAAGGCCCGATATGGGTACAAAGTTATGCAGTTTACTATTAACGTAGTATAAAGTTGTACTGAATAATCATAGCATTATACCCAAAGTTATTAAGGTGGGATATAATACATGGGTACTTTGGAGAACGGATACATTATTTTGTCTTCTAGTGAAGTCTTTAGGTTCTTGATCTTTTCTCGATTATTTTGCACAGTGAATATTCATATTCTAATAGCAAAAGAAAATTGTATTGAAATGTTATATTTTAAAAAAGCACTTTAAAGTATATAAATAAATTACTCGGGCAATTGATTTACATCAGCCAATCAAAGTCTTATGATTACGTGAGTTATTTATTTTGTGAGGGAGGTTGGTTTTAATGTGAGGTCTAATCATTAGCGAACTTTAAATACCAATTGTCATGTTGGCTAATGTTGTGATCAATGTAATCATATATACCGGTATATATATTACTGTATTAAAGTGGACCGGCAACACTGGCCAATCAGAGGGATTATTTCCAAAATTATCAAAAAATTGTATTATCGAACTATATAATACATAATCTCCTATAAAGTGTACCGTATGGCTAACAGTCTTAGTATAAAGGACTTTTACATTCATCTCTTATACTAAAATTATATTAATACCATATAATATAAATATATATTAAACGTATTTTACATATAAAATATAAAATGTGGCACATGGTGCCATGTGTGGAGCTAGTATATTAGAATTGTTAGAATTATATATATAACTGTAATAATCACTTTTGAAATGCTTTTAAACTCTAAAAATATCTATAACGATAATGGGCATCTAATAAGTATTACTTCAAGCAACACATATCTTATAAGTGTGAAGACATTTGATTAACCACGTCACAATTGGTCTGCTTTAAAAGACCGGGTGTTTTTATAATTCAATTTTGTGTATTTTGAGAGAAAGTTATCATTTAATACATATACATTACATAATTTACGATGAGCTAAAGTTTATGCCTACTTTCTTATGACACACCTTCCTATGACACACTTTTCATGACACACCTTATAACGCACCTTCCTATGATACGCCCTTCTAAATTTTTTTGAATATTCATAATTCCCTATAAGAATTATTTCACACACTATTACGCTATTTTTGCACATCATATTATCAGTTATCAACTATAATTTATTAAGACATCATAATATATATATATATAGTACTTCATATATAACCTTGATATTTTATATCAAAAGATAAACTTATTCCTGGTTTTAGCGCGACTATGTCGCGCAGCTACTTGCTTTTGATCATTATATCGAAGGGAGTCAAGGATTTAAATCACGTGTAAATAGCGTCAAGTACATTATATATTTCAAGATTTCTTCACACGCGTTTCTTCCCGCACAGTACTTTTGATTCAACTATGGATGGAGAGATTTTAAACAATGTTAAATTTTCCGAGTACTGGAAGAAACCTCACGAACAATGGAATTTTGATACTTATAGACTATTTTATCTTGAAAAACACCCTGGCGCGTCAAAGCAAACAATACATAGTAATTTTGCGATAGAACTAAAGATTTTGAATGAGAATTTAAACCAAGGTCGAAGGAAAAACGTAAAATAGTAGAAATATTAGGCTCAGAGGTTAGTGTTTTTACACGTTTTCAGGAATGTGGAAATATTAACAAGTATAGTAGTGTTCAAAGATAAGCCGGCTTATCACGGCTTGCTGCGGCTTAATGCGGCTTATCACGTGATAAATTCGAATTTGTCACCAAGCCATGTGATAATCTCGAAAATATCACATGACAAATTCGAAGATATCGCATGGTTTGGTGATAAATTCGAACTTATCACATGATAAGCCGCATTAAGCCGCAGCAAGCCGTGATAAGCCGGCTTGTCTTTGAACACTAAAGTATAGATGGTATGCTACGCCCTGTATTCTACGGTTACGGGGAAGAGCATCCAGTCATATTAGTGCGTTCAGTCACAATAGTGCCGTGGTGGGCATACCTGCTGTGGGTTCGCTGATTTTATAGGATGAATCAGCAAACGTACCTTTCTTACTTATACGCTCTTTACATAACTTAATTTTCAGGGATTCTATAAGAATAAAAAAGGCAAGGAAAAAGTATCACTTCAAAAAAGTTCTAATACGAAAAATAAAGAAAAAAGTGCAAGAAATTAAACAAAGATATATAAAGAAAGAAACCTACCCCTAAGCTCTTTCTTTTTTTTATAATATCTTTGGTCTAGAAAGCTCTATAGTATTGCCAGTTAATTTCAAA